CAATCCTACTCTTCCTTCCCTTCCATTCCAATCAGGATATTGGCCTTCCTACAACGTTCCTTTTCATGAAAAAATCTACAACTGGAGTGGCTATCCATTGTTAGTTCAGAAGCTGGGTTTGGACTACTCTTATGATCTGGCTCCACGAGCCAAAATCTTCCGGCGTGACCAAGGAACAGTGACTGACATGGCATCCATGAAATATATCATGCGATACAACAGTACGTAGCACATTTCTCAGGAATCATTCTTCAAAACTCCTTTTCTTCCCCATGGATAAAGAATCCATGTAAGTTTATTATCTCTGTACTAGAAGGAATTATAAGAAGTTAATGAATTAAGTATTTTGTATTCAATTCGTATTATACATATTTTATACTCAACAAATAAAATTTTGTCCACCTTCATAAAATGACAGGGGAAAGATTCTATAGATTTTTTTTTAATTGAAAACTTATATGTGAAACACAGAAAAACCCGTAAGATGTACTTTTTTTTTTTTTTTTTACTATCACTCCCATCCCCCAAACACAGGTTTCCTCCCAAGGACAAAAGCAGCCAATAAAGCAAAAATTATTCATAAATACTTTATTATTTAACAGTATCAAAATCAAATTTGTAATTATTTTGTGAAAAAAAATTGATGCACATTTATCCTGTTAATCTTTCATCCACTCTTCACTGTGCAAGGTTCTTGAGAACAGGCTGGGCTTGGAGCAGGAAACTTACAGTTGCCTCTTCCTAGTACAAGCCAAAGGAGACTTCTGTATCCGGGAGCACACTGGGCTGCAGAGGCCTCACTCATTATCTAGCTTTTAAAAGGTCCAAAAAATTTATTGTGGATCCGTGTTACCTCAGAATAGTCTGTGCTCACTCTTGTCCCAATCTCTGTTTCCTAGATTATGAGAAGGATCCTTACAGTAAAGGTGATCCGTGCAACACCATCTGCTGCCGTGAAGATCTGAATCCATATGACCCAAGTCCTGGAGGTTGCTATGATACAAAGGTAACATGCTACTGACTTTTGAATTTAATTTCCACCAGCACCTACACCTATTTAAAGGCAAAGCTGCAAAGGTTTTGGTGTCATAGAGCACAACAATGTTTCTACCCATTACTTGATTCAGGGTTCACCTTTTTCAGATATTCTGGTGATGGGTGCCATTGCCTAACTTCAAGTCCCTGCTCTGCCACTTAACCCATTGTACGCCATAAGCATCTGTCGAGCAAGCGGTGGACCTTCCCCACACACCACATGCGTCTATAAAAAAAAAAAAATGTTTTCTCTAAGTGGCAGCCCTGACTAACTTTAAAATAATTTTTCGTGAGAATTTTCAGCTGAAAATATTCAATAACACCCGAATTGTGAGTAATATATTTATTTTTATAATTAGAGGCCTTGTGCGAAATTCATGCATAGGTAGGGTCCCTAGGCCTGGCCAGCAATCAGGGCCAATCAGGGCCTTCCGGCTGCCAGCCAGGGCCTTCCTTCGCTCCGCGCTGCCCCCTGGTGGTCAGCTCACGTCATAGTGAGTGATCAAACTCCCAGTCTCCCAGTCGAACTCCCAAGGAGACACTTTGCATATTAGCCTTTTATATATATAGATATTCATTGCAAATTGATTTTTTAAATTCAATTCAAAATATCATGGCATGTGGGGATGGTTTCCATTTTGGACATGTGGCAGTTAACTGTTAAATAGTAAATCACATAATCTTATAATGCTTCTGCTTCCTCATCTGTAAAATGGAAGTAACAGTACTTGCCTCATATGGCTGTAGAGAAGAACATTTAATATCTATAGACTGTTTAGAACAGTACTTAGTGGGTTATTTGAAAATGTACACATCATGATGATATTGGTGGTAATAATGTGGATGTCTAAAGTTTTCCAGACTGGCCCAAAGTCCAAAGAATATATTGAGAGCAGTGTGATTTTACATTAAGTAGAAATTTAATTTAGCTGAAGGAACAAGTATTGGACCAGGCACAAAATCATTAAAGGATTTTTAATTTTTAGCATGCTAGAATTGGTAAGTGCTATAATGTATCTTATAAGTAATATGTTTGCAGTGGTGGTCTGAAATAGCTCATATAGATATGAGGACCAGTTGTTAAAATCAGTTGACTCTGTTGATAGCCTGAATTCAGCCATGGTGTGAGTATTTACACCCTGGAAATCAGCAAACATTACAAATCAGGGCCTTTTTTTCCTCTCAGAGAGTTAGTTGTTGAAAAATTTACCTGGATACTCCTGGGTTTGGGAGATCCAAGGGGGTAAGCTAGTTATTTTAGTTGGTGGAGAGAATCATTTTACCACATCCTTTTGTACTTTTGGTTTGGGCATGTCTTTTCATTTGCAACTCCAGTCCTAAATTCTGGAAGAAATTTGTGAGAAGAGTTAACTGTTGTATCTTCAGCTCTGAATCTGTAAGAATGTCAACAGCCCCCCCCAACCCCCCCCCCACACTTTTTTTTTTCTCCTATCAGCCTAAAGCCTAAATAGGAGATGCTTTAGAATAGCCTGAGTTCCAGCTCCCCCTACATTATAGGTATGTGATAATGGCAAAACTTTAGCCTTAATGACTCTCAATATGTTATGAAATGCAAATAAATAAGTAAATAGTGGAATCTAATGAACAAAATGAACAAGCGAAATAGATACAAACAGAGCAGGCTGACAGCTGTTGGAGAGGAGGAGTATTGGAGGACTGGGTGGGGCATGGTAGAGGGATTAAGGAAAAAAAAACAACTCATGGACAAGAACAACACTGAATTGCCAGGGGGAGGAGAGTATGGGGGGGGGGGGATAAATGGTGATAGAAGGATACTTGACTTGGGGTGGTGAACACAATACAGTGTACAGATGAGTTGTGGAACTGTGTACCTAAAACCTATATAAATTTTGTTAACCAGGATCACCCCAATAAATTCAATTAAAAGGGGGAAAATTAGTGGATACAGTACTTGGCACACATGAAGCCCCAATGAATGTTTTTGTATTTATTTTTTATGGCATTTGCAAACATTCAGTGAAGTGTGTAACATCTTATATCCATTCCAGAATATACAGAGAATTACCCTCTGCTGCCTTGCCTAGAATCCAAGCTGACCAGCCATTTGTCAGATTTTACTTTCTTCTGGAAACACCTGCCAATTTTTCATCAAAAAAAAAGTTCTGTTGAGGATATACTTTAAAAACATTTCTCTTGAGCCATTCTGAATATAGGAAAAATCCTAAGTTATGAGACGTTTTCTTCTTTCCCCTCTAAGGTTAAGAACTGCTGCTATCCATTGTTTAGGTGTTTTTGAGAACCATGGGCATTTTTTGATATTGAGCTCCACTTTATAACTTGCTACTGTACTGATTAATAAAACTTTTATTGAGAAATATTTTTTTGGCACTGCACCAAGCACTTACTTTCATTAAACCTCATGACAACCCTTCTGTGAAGTAGGGTTATCAGCCTACTTTACAGCTGAGAAAACTGAGCCATATGGAGGTTATTTTTTAATAAATTTTGGAGCTAGAATTTTGATTATGAGTAGTTGATTACAGATCTCACACTTTGGCTACATTGCTAATACCCTCCCACTATTCAATTCATATGTGAATGCCAAATGAAGACAGAATAGCAGATTGTGGAAGTTGGCAAGATTTTGTTTTAAAGGGGCTAATATTGTGACTTTGGAAATGGGTTGGAGGCGGAGGAGAAAAAATAGGGATTTAGTCCATTTTTTTTCCAAATTGTTTTTCTAAAATGTCTACCTCTTTCTCTCCAGGTGGCAGATATGTACCTAGCATTAGAGTACACAGCACACGCCATTAGTGGCCCCACAGTACAAGGTGGCCTCCCTGTTTTTCACTGGAAGCGGTTCAACAACACTCTCCATGAGGGCATGCCAGAGGCCTACAACTTTGATTTTATTACCATGAAGCCAATTTTGAAACCTGACATAAAATGAAGGGCGATAAGAAAATAGAAGGCTGCAAATAAGATACCAAAGGCACTATTTTAGCTATGTTTTTCCATTCACAATTAGGTTTAATAAAATATATTAAATTTAGTCTGTTACTGTCATTCCCCACTGTTGACTGTGTAGTTAATAAGCATTCACTGAAGAAGAAACATTACATATGATTAACAATACTAGAATTCAGCATACAAACTTATATACAAGAGGGTATGGCAGCCCTAGCTGGTTTGGCTCAATGGATAGAGCTTCGACCTGTGGACTGAAGGGTCCTGGGTTTGATTCTGGTCAAGGGCACATGCCCAGGTTGCAAGCTCAACCCCCAGTAGGGGGCATACAGGAGGCAGCCAATCAATGATTATCATTCATCATCCATGTTTCTCTCTTTCTCCCTCTCCTTTCCTCTCTGAAATCAATAAAAATATATATTTTTTAAAAAGAGGGTATGGCAGAACCTTTTCCCTTACTCATCAAAATCCATATTCTTTTATGCCTGGCCACACAGACCACACATCCCAGGTTCCCTTAGGTAGTTGTGCCACATGACGAGTTCTTGTCAGTGGAATCGGACATGAGTGCCTGTTTCAGGCCTGGCCCCTAAGAACCTGTGCTCCCCCATGCTCTTTCCCCCTTCCTTCCCTGGCTGGATATACTTAGTGACAAAGCCCAAAGGAAAGGTGGAGCTGTGTTTCCAATGGAGCCTCTTGCAGAAATGCAGGGAGTGATATTTCTGGCATTAACAGGTATCAGTTGAGTCTTTTTGTGGTGGAGGCTAGGCACACAATATGGAAACCTTAATGTTGTCTCCCATTACTGAAAAGCAGCACATCTCATCTGAGAGCAACTCTGTGTAATAGCTTTTCTTTCAAAGTTTGAGAACTGTGTGTACTTTTAGTGCTGTGGTATTGTCAATTAGGCTAAATAAACCATACTGTACAGTCTAATGAGTGATCCTTAACAAAGTGAGAGACTTTCGAAAGAAACAAACACAAAGGGCAAGAATAATCAGAATGAATCAGAGTACTCAGAATGTTAAAAACCCATAGTTTATTTCAAAGTATAAATTTCAGGCTTGCTGGACAAATCCCACTACAGTTAACACTTAAACAGACACCAGTCTACTGTACATTTAGAAAAGAAAAAAAACCACAAAAACCTTTAAAACCTAATAAAAATAGGACAACTTGCTATAGCTGGTTTATATGAGACATTAGGAAGATCTTAACATTGTCTTATTATTTACACTTTCAACTGCAATAAAGAAAAATCAGAATGCAAGTTTCCTACAAAGTATTTTTATATTAACTTTGAAATGGCTGATGAAATACTAAAGCCAAGATTTCCAAAAGGTGTTTGATTGCCCAGTTACCTTATTTACAAACAAAATAAAACAAAAATAAAAAAGACAGCATTTAAATATAAATGCTTGGTATTTAGCTGACTCTACAAATTAAAAAACTTATTTAGCATGATAAAACTATTTGTATGGTCCTATTCCTCCCCATTGGCTGGCTCAAGAGAAACAGATTTTAGGAATTACGTAAGTCTACCACACTAACAAAACACCTCATAAGAATTGTTCTAATCTTTTCCTTTGTCCCAAAATGTAAAAAAAGGGAGAGGTGGGGTGGGAGGACTGGACACATCATTTGCCCAGGAAGGAAGGCAGAATCATACATTGGTTTTAGATAAAGTTATTTGCAGTAATCTAATACTGAGACATGATTTTTCTGGAAATTAGAATAAAACAGGCCAATAACAACTGGCCAATAATAAAATAATGAATGAATCATAAGATACTGAAATAACCCAAGGTTTTTGCAGTACTCTAACAGTGCTAAGATCACATGTATAAAAGCAAGAGAGGACGATACCACAGGCATTATTTTGTTAATCTTGTATAGTACTGAGAAATTCGTGGAACAAGATAAATGCATGTCATGCAATATTAACACTCACCTTGTTGCATAAATAATTCAGAAAATATAACCAAAAGAGAACAAAAACTTAGCTAACACTTATGCAATACAGTAAGAGAATTCTGTATGGTGCAGCCCACCTAAGGAGTTCTGTAGAAATGTACCCCTAAGATTCTAAGCTCCTTGCTCTAGTACTTGTTTTTCAAATAAACCTTTCATTTACCTGACACTGGGGGTGGGGAGAGTGGGGAACATCTCGCTGTGAGGCAAATGGTACCCCAGTAAGTATCTTTCAAGGAAGAAAGCTCTCTTTACTCTTCTCACTGACTTCTACTGTGTTAAACAGTACACAGTATTCTGCATATTTTAAAAAGTGAGTCCAGAGAAATAGAGGGATATAGTTACCTCATCAAGTTAACTGTTAATAACATGTTATCTTTATATGTAATTTATAAATTTACTGGCAATAACAATTTTGGAAAGAGGCTTACTCACACCTTAAATAAGGCGAAAATTAACAAAGTAAAGAGTAACAAACATCATTGTTACCTTTAAACGCCACATAACAATTTTGGGTTGAAATTTCATAAATTTCCAGGATTTCCAATAAAGTGACATTTAACACAAGTATTGTCAGGCTAAAAAATTTAGTAAACTTGCATTCCCAAAATGGGATAAACAAGCTTATTTGTAATACTTTGTGAAAAGGTACAACAAAATAAAAAAGGTATCATGGGGTGCGAACTGCTACAAAAAATCTGTAATCAGTAGCTATTTCTAGCTGAATCTTCCATTCTCTCTCCTGAATAAAAAGTGTCCATCAACATTAAAACCTGCCCCAAATAAATGACTAGAGTTCTAGCCTACCACCTTTCAGTTAATCCAATATTGCTGCTGTTGCCTACAAATCCCATGTCAGACTAATTTGTGGAGGCCAATTTATAATATGCTTTTTCCTCAAATAATTACAATATTTCTTTGTACCTTCCTCCCACCATCAGGAATAAAAAGTTATTATACTGTAGCAAAATATTTTTTAAGGTTACTGTTCAAAATTTTTTTTTGACAGAAAACACAGTATACACTAAAATAATGAAATATTTGCATTCTACTGGGCTTTCTTCACAGGATTATATAGTGCTACAAAAACTCTTTCAAAAAGGGATTAGTGACTATAAATAGAAACATTCACCAAGGGAACCATTTCAAGGCTAGGTAGGCAAATTGTTATCACATGACCAAAAAAAGGCCAATAAAGAACAATTTTGAACATGAGCTTTCTATTCTGTAGACAGGAATGACCTTGAGCACATAATCAATGTTGCATCCACGGCAGGTAGAAACATATATACATGCAGGTATCGATAGGTATTCATATACATCTACCTCCCTTTCGAAATTTTCATTGGCATGACATTGGCAACTTCTTTACCATCGTCATTAGTCCTAGAACGAGTAATAGCTACATGGTTGGCAAATTTGATTCATGGAAACTTTAATTCTCATTGTGGCCTTATTTTCTGAAAGTGAAAGGAAGGTTTTGGAGCATTTATAATTTGGCAACCTGTAGGCTTTCTTCAGCATCAACCAAAATTCACACATAACATGACATACACTGACTGGTGAAAGTCTATTTAAAGACTTTACAACTAGAATGCTTCCAGTTTCAAGCCACCAATGTGGCAAACAAAGCATTAATGGAGAGGATTGCTCCCTCCTATAATTTCAGGAGGTATAATTTGAGAAGGTACAAATATGAATTCAAATATGATAAGGGAAGATGATAAATTATTTCACGAACTCCATTAATTCCTTTAAAAATATTCCCAACCGTACTCTCATCCCCAAGTGTACCCAGGAAGTCCTGTCCTACACTATCTACACTCAACTATCTGATACCAATAGAGCTCGCACTCGTATTGAAAATGCAGGACACCTAAGCTGACTTTGATTAACTTTGAAGAGGAACAGAGAACTAAGTCATATCTAATTGTTACATAAACTGACCCCAAAGGATATGCTTTGAATTCTATCCAAAGCTGACATAGGATAAATTACACAAAACTTGGCACCATCAAAACAAAGTTAAAAGTTAACAAAAGGAACAATGATACAAGAATAAAGAGATAATGTATCTTTCCCTTTAATATTTTAACTCACTGTATTTTGTAAGTTTGACTATTTCCTTTGAAAGAATATTATGCTTTGGGTGATAAACTATAATTGCTTTCATAATTTCTGACACCGTGTGAGCACAGATACTGAAATTTTTGTAGGAAAAGTTTCTTACACAGTTCGGTCTTCTCTTGGTCTACTTTACATAAAGTAAATTTAAATGGTGACCAAAAATAAAAGCATTTATATTCTTAGGAGAAAATAGCAAGTGAAAATTTTGGAGTTAGATATAGTAATGCCACTGATGAGAATATGTATAAAAGCCTTGTTTTAACATTTACTTGAGGGAGTGTTCTATATTTTGCGGAGATAAAGGAAAAATGAAGGGCTAAAAGCTGAAAGGAAAGAAACAACAATGGACAAATGGCCATGTTTATTTTTGCAGTTAATGTTTAAGGCACAAAATAAATGTAAAAGTAAGATTAGAAAAGGGAGGGGCCATTTAGATGTTTTCGCCTATTTAACAACCCAGAAGAGACAACAAAAGATAAAACAGATCCTTTCCTGTGTGCAAATTAACCTATTTTAAGCTCTTTAACCATTTTGCTTTTTTTTTTCCCCTTTGGGTTTTGTTTAGATTCTGTTTAAATCATTTAACTATGAAACTACAGATCCCTTAGAAATACAATCATGCCAGTTACATACCTCAGATGCTTTGCTCTACTTTATGCTAGAAGAGAGGTAATTTGAGAATGAAAATGGGAGATTCCACTGCAACAAACATATATAAATAGAAAAAAATAAAACCACACAAACACCCAAACATATTATTCCCCAGCCTCAAGACTAAAGGAAAATGCACATTTACATTTCAAAACCTTGAAGCTTGAATTGTTCAGGAAAAGGTTCTTGCTTTATGAGCTAAGTTTATTTTATTCTCTGATTATAAACAAACGTAGTGTATATACACATCTGTCCAAGAAATCTCGCACAATGTAGATTTTTACAATGGGTATCATGCACAAGATTAAAATAAGACCAAAAAGTGGAACTTTTCAAAGAAGAAGAGAGAAAGGGTCCAAGGTTTAACTGCTCTGGGAAGAAGAGATCACATCCGTTGACTGAGGATCGCAGAAAGGTCCAAAACGTCCATAAATATCCTTGGCCCGTACGGCAAAGTAGTATTTGCTGCCAGATACAAACTGGGTCAGAGTGCATGCCATTGGCAAAGGAAGTGCCTTTACCTCTCCAATCTTTTTCCATTGTGAGGGCACAGTGGCACTGGGCTCCTCATGGTAAGCATAGAGATGGTAGCTGTCAACAGTGGCACAGGTTCGATCCACTTCCAGGACACTCCATGACAGTACAATGCCATTTTGACTCTGAACTCGTGCTAACTTCAAGTGCGGCTTCTGAGGCAGAGATGTGCTGGCAGCTTCTGGGGGCAGGCGCGGTGGTTGTGGGGCTTCTGGTAAGGGTGCTGGGTGCACAGGGCGTGGGGGCTCCTAACCAAGAAGAGCCATGTTGATTTATAATGACCACACAAAGGGCTGTTTTTGAGAATTAGAACTAAGACATCCTAGAGGTGACTTACTGAGAACATTTTATATCAAAATACAGGGAAATACCAAATATTTGGCACGTTTTATTTGGTGAGCTGTAACCAACTGTACCCCAAACAATGATGCTGAGGTAACCCCTGCTATTCTTTCCAGACCTACAGAGTTTTCCTTGGGAAATAAAAGCCCTTGCTGATGGAACATCATCTTGACAGATTGAAATAATCATCTACTTCTAACAAAATAATGTATAATTTAATTCTGTATGCTACAGCTTCTTTTTTCAGTACAATGTAACATTTTAAAATATTATTATGTGTCCCTGGCCAGTGTGGCCCACTTGGTTGAGCGTCATCTTGTGCTGCAAAAGGTTGTGGTTCGCTTCTCAGTGAGAGCACATACCCAGGTTGTGGGATTGATCCCCGGTTGGGGAATGTATGAGAGGCAACCAATTGATGTTTATCACGTCAGTGTTTCTTTCTCTCGCTCCATCTCCCTTCCTTTCTCTCAAAAATCAGTAACATTTTTTTAAAAACTTTAAAAATAAAATATTATGTGTGTCAGTCTACCATAGAAAATTTGAGTATTTAACTCTACTTCCATTTTAAAGCTGTTTTTCCATATAAACACTAGCATATTCTTACAAATAACAAATAAGCACATTTAATAATGAATGTACATTATGCTTTTGATCAGGCTAAATGAAATAGGTGACATTTAAATTAGATCCTGAAACAGGGTATTTAGAAATATAGAAAAAGTTGTGTGCCATTCTGCCAATAGGTAAAGCATGAGCAAAGGCATGCGGGATTTATGGGCAAAAACCAGTGATAACTTTTTACTCAGACATAGGGTATGTGAAGAAGAAAAGATAAATTTCGAAAGGTAGGTTAAATCTAGATAATGAGAAAGATTAATACTAAGCTTAAGAAGACAAATTCACTTATCTAACATTGGACATTAGTATTATTATATTTGGGTTTTAAGATTACAGTGATAATATTTCCAAAAAAGATTCAAGTGAGAGCCAGGAAATAGGGATATTAAGTGATTTTTTTCTTTCTTTCTAGTGAAACATCATTATTCCACTGGCTTTAGGAAAGTGGTATTTTGGTGTGTTTTTTTTTTTTGGTTAATCCTTACTCGAGGATATTTTTCCTATTGCTTTTCAGAGAGAATGGAAGGAAGGGAGGGAGAGAGAGAAATATCAATGGGAGAGAGACACATCAATTGGTTGCCTCCCACACTCACCTTGACTAGGGGCAGGGAGTGAACTGGTGCAACCCAGGTACATGCCCTTGACTGGGAATTGATCCCAACACCTTTCCATGCCCAGTCTGATGCTCTAACCATTGAAGAACTGGCCAGGCATGCTCACTGACTTTAAATTGGAAGTCATGAAATAAGATTTTCTTGAATGAAATTCATTTAACAAAAATTGTTTTAATATATATTTTATTAAATGGATAATTTGCATATATTAAACAGTGAATTCTGTGATAGTCTGATACCATCTTTTTAATTCCCATGCTTTCTCAAAACTTAGTACCAGAAACATGTACATAGGAAGAACTCAGAAAGGATATGCTGAATAATGTCAAGGAATATAAATCTGCTGAAATTCTTATGCCTAATGGAAAAAAATTCAAACATGTCTGGAAAAAGGTATAATCTCAATTGAAAAGTTAAAATAAAGTTAGAGAGAAAAAAATTTAAACTTAAATAGATAAAAATTGAAAGCTGAAGAAGTAGAACTAAGTTGAGCCCTGGCCAGTGTGGCTCAGTTGGTTGGGCGTTGTCAAATCAAAGGTGTGATTCCCAGTCAGGGTACATACATGCCTAGGTTGCAGGTTCAATCCCCCGTTAGGATGTAAGCAGGAGGCAACCGATCAATGTTTCTCTCACATTGATATTTCTCTCTCTCTCCCCCTTCTTATCTCTCTAAAATCAATAAAAACATATTTTGAAAAGTAGGACTTATTTGAATGCTAACCATGTTGCTCTAATTCAGTGGTTCTCAACCTTCCTAATGCCGCGACCCTTTAATACAGTTCCTCATGTTGTGGTGACCCCCAACCATAAAATTATTTTCGTTGCTACTTCCTAACTGTAATTTTGCTACTGTTATGAATCGTAATGTAAATATCTGATATGCAGGATGTTTTTTCATTGTTTATGACCCACAGGTTGAGAACCGCTGCATCTAATTCCTATCTCAAATTGTCTTTTTTCCTAAAGTGACTTAATCGTTTTAAAAGTAAAATTAAATAAACATATAGCTAACAATGTAAGAGACAATGGCTGAAGCCATACTTGACTGGATGGAGCACAGGAATTAAAGAAGTTTGACAATAGTTTAAATGGCCTGTAATATCCCTTCTATTTCTTAAAATTCTAGGATTCTGAATCTGCTCATGTCCCAAAACTAAGTCAACTGAGTTATTATATTTTTGTTATTGCAATGGCTTTTACTGAAGTTTTATAGATAAAATAATGTGATATCAGGAATTTGCTTCAAAATAGTTGGTGTGTACATGGTTGTGGAAATAAGTGGCTGGTACCATAGATGAAATAAGACTGGCCAAGCACTAATAATTGTTGAAGATGTGTGATAGGTATACAGAAATTGTTACTCTATTTTTTCTACATACATTTGAAAATTGCTATTTAAAAATATTTTTTAAATTAATTAAAAGAATGTTCCTCATGTGAGATGCACTTTATTCTAAGACAATACACATGAATGGAACCCGGTAAAAAAAAAAAAAAAAAAAAAAGACCCCGCCAACACATACACACACAACACAACTCTGATAGGTCATCAAATTTGCAAAACTGTAATATAAGATTTTTGCTATACTTTTATGAAAGACTAATGAATGAAAGGAATTATTTATAGACACAAACAACAGTAATGGGAAATTTGCCACATACCCCAATAGGGCCAGACAAGAGGGGCTGGGATTGGACAGCCTGAGTTATAAAATGGTTTTGCCTCTGACACTAGCTTGGGTAGTGACACAGAGTAACCACTTATCTTTGTGACACAGTATCCTTTTCTATAAGAAATTAATAATCCTTGTAAAATTGTGAGGATTAAATTAAAGCACATTAAATTAAATTGGAGTACCTGGTATATTCTAAGTGCTCCATTAATATTAATGTTTTCATTGTAGAACAATAAAAATAATAGCTATTAAGAGCACAGGCCCTAGAACATGGGTTTCTACAAAGTATGACCTAGGGCTGCTTAGTCAGCTTCTCTGTGCATTAGCTGTCATATCATTAAAAAGAGAGAGCAGGAGTCCTAAAGGAGTCCCATGTGAGAACTAAGTATATTAACAGTGTCTGGCACATAGTAAGCACTTAATAAATGCTAGCCATTATTACATGTAATAAAAAAATGAATGATCCTTTGCTTGGTAAGAAGTGATATGTCTCAATCTCCTCCCTCCTCATAAAGCCAGTATATTTCCATTTACATGGTATACCAAACCAAATACTGTTATAATCACATCACAGGATAATGTGACATTATTTTGGAGACTACATTACATCTAAGGGGAAATCTTGTGATTTTCTGTTATCTCTGAGCAACGAATTCCAAATACCACTGAATTATTAAACACAATAAAGTGGCAGCAATGTAGTAGTTAGAACTGGTATAATGTTTTGAGGAAAAGAATAAAGTTAGAGCATCAAAAAATGGTTTTTAAAATATGCTTTTTAATACTCTAAAATATTTTTAATTTAACCATGAGTTAAAATAGTCTATCTCTTTCATTTCACATGCCCCACCTGTGGACTCTTTTTATACATTATAAGCCACCACAAGCTCTACGATCCTTGACCACCATCATCCCTAGGAACATTTGTTCATAATGATAAAATCTAGTCTCTTAAATAAACTTCTGCAGGAAAAATGGAAGACCTGTCATTTCCTTTTGATATAACTAATTTAAAGAAAAATAATATTTGACAGCTTCATAGCTAAGAATTTTGAGTCACGATCAACACTTACAGTGTGCACCTGTGGGGGTCGATGATGCACTGTGAGCTGAGGTCCTGGGGATCCCAGGGCTATTCCATTGTTTACAACATATGTAGTTGCTTGAGGCACTCGAACCGTGACACCTACAAAAGAAAATTAAGAAATAAATCAGAACTTTATTCTACATTTGGCAGAACACTGATTACACACCTGAAGTCAGTAAAATGATATTTTTAAAATATGAAAAGAAAAATATTTCTAACCTAGAAGTCTACACTCAGCCAAAGTATCATTCCAGCATGAAGACAAAGAAGTTCTCATATATGCAAACAACCAAAAAAAAAAAAAAAATACTTCTCAAGTAGCTTCCAGAGGATGTGTATCACAAATATAAAAGAGAAAATAAAGAGGAAAAGAGTAGACACAAGGAACAATAGTTCCTGCACAGGAGAGAAACAAATGGAATCCCTACTAAAAGGACTATGAGCAAAATCCTAGAACACTGGAACACTGGTGGCTCACATGTAGAAGGCAAACAGCCCAGAATGGAGCAGTGTGACCTTAAAGACAGAAAACATAAAGCTATCGCCACAAAAGCCTCTGCTGTCTTGTTTGTTTTGTTTTTAAATATGTTTTTACTGGATTTAGAGAGAGCAAGGGAGAGGGGGAGGGAGGGAGAGAGAAACATTGATCGGTTGCCTCTAGTAAGCATCCGGACTGGGGACTGAACCCACAATCTGGGCACGTGCTCTGCCCAGAAATCGAACAAGTGACCTTTTTGGTGCATAAGTCGATGCTCAGCCAATTGAGCCAAACTAGCCAGGGTATGTCTTTTTCACTATAAAGAATGGAAAAAAAAAAACCTACTAAGTTATTCCTGCCTTCTGTTATGAAGTTCCTCTCTTTCTCTCCATGCCTTCTGCTAATCAGTTATGGATACTCACTTTACCCAATAGTAAACTGTTTTGCCGTACATCAGGGTAACAGAAGCAGAAAATTTAGAGCTACATACTTCCCTGGGCTATAATTCTGGCAGGTACTCTGAAATCAACTAAAATATGTATGTTTTTAAAAAGAGTGATCTACTGAGCACAGAAAACAGATCCAACCAGATAGAGGAAAGAATTAGTGATATCGAAGATAGGAATCAAGAAATTATGCAGAGGGAAGAAAAGAGAGACCTGAGATTATGCAGAGGGAAGAAAAGAGAGACCTGAGAATAAAGAAAAATGAAAGAGCTCTATGAGAACTATCTGACTCCATCAGAAAAGGCAATATTAGAATTATAGGTATTGTGGAGGAGAAAGAGTCAGGACATGGAATGGAGAGTCTATCAAAACAAATAATAGATGAGAACTTCCCAAATCTATGGAAAGAACTAGATCCTCAAATCCAAGAAGCAAATAGAACACCTAGCTACCTCAATCCAAAGAAGGCCTCTTCCAAGGCACTTGGTATTGAAGCTGTCAAAAATTAATGACAAAGAAAAAATTCTCAGAGCAGCCAGGGAAAAGAAGGAAGTGACCTACAAAGGAAAACCCATCAGAATTTCATCCAACTTCTCAGCAGAAACTCTACAAGACAGAAAAGAGTATAACCAAATATTCAGAGAGAAATTACCATCCAAAAATAATATATCCAGCAAAATTATCCTTTAAATATGAAGGAGAAATAAAGATGTTCCCAGACATACAGAAGCTGAGAGAGTTTATCACCAGAAAACCATTGCAGGACATAATCAAGGGGTTATTCTAGCTGAAACAAAGAACATAAGGTCACAATACTAAGGAACATAAAATCACCAAAAAACTTACAGCATAAACAGTGATAATTTTTGACAACAAAAACATAAATGGGGAGAAAGCAAAAGGTCTGAACTGGCAAAGGAAGATGAAGATCAGATGCACTCAAAAGGAACAAAACTATGGTATATTTGCAATTTTATTTTTATAAACCTAATGGTAACACACACAAAAATTTCCAAACCAGGACATATAGATTAAAAAGAGAGGAAAGATGTATGGAATGCCACCAAACAAAAGCAACAGACAGAAACATAAAGATAAAGAAAGAACCAATAAAAGCACAGAGCTAACTGAAAACAAAAGATAAAATGGCTATAGGAAATCTTCATACACCAGTAATTACCCTAAATGTAAATGGTCTGAACTCATCAATTAAGAGGCACAGAGTAGCAGAGTGGATAAAAAAAGAAAAAACACACAAAAAACAAGCATATGCTGCCTTCAAGAGACACATCTAAGCTGCAAAGACAAAGGTAGAGTCAAAGTAAAGGGGTGGAAAATGATTCTCCAAGCAAATAACAACCACAGACAAGCCATACTTATAGCTGACAAAATAGATTTAGAGATAACAATGGACACTTTATATTGATAAAGGGAACACTACATCAAAAAAACGTAACATTTTTTAATATATATGCACCCAATCAGGGAGCACCGAAATATATAAAATTACTCACAGAACTAGAGAAGAACAGATCAAAACACAATCATTGACAGCTCTAGACAGATCAACCAAACAGAAAATCAATAAAGAAATAACGGCCTTAAATGAAACACTACACCGAATAGATATAATTGACATTTATAGAACCTTTCATCCCAGAGCATCAGATTATAAATTCTTCTCCAGTGCAAATGAAACATTCTCAAGGATAGACCATATCTTGGATCACAAAATTAACATCAACAAATTCAAACTGAAATTATACCAAGTATATTCTATGACCACGAAGACTTGAAATTAGAAATCAACTGCAAAATGGAAGTAAAGAAACCCACAAATACATGGAGATTAAACAACATACTACTAAAACATGACTGGATAAAAGAAGAAATAAAAGATGAGATAAAAAGATATATACAGACAAATAAGAATGACAATACAACATATATACTCAGTGGTGACAAACTGAAAGCTTTTCCTCTAAGCCAGCGGTTCTCAACTGGTGGGTCGAGACCTCTTTGGGGGTCGAACGACCCTTTCACAGGGGTTGCCTAAGACCATCGGAAAACACATATATAATTACATATTGTTTTTGTGATTAATTACTATGCTTTAATTATGTTCAATTTGTAACAATGAAATTGGGGGTCACCACAATATGAGGAACTGTATCAAAGGGTCGCGGCATTAGGAAGGTTGAGAACCACTGCTCTAAGCTAAGGAACAAGAAAGGATGTCCACTCTCACCACTCTTATTCAACACTAGAGGCCTGGAGCACAAATTCATGCATGGGTGGGGGCTGGCCTGCCCTCCGATAGGAGCCCATGGGGCTGAGTCGGCGGGGGGGAGGGGCCACGGGTAGTTGGCTAACCCCGCGTCCAATCCGGCCTGGAACAGGCTGGTTGGCTGCCACAGTGCATGTCATAGACACTGGTCGAACTGGTCATCCCGCCATTCCAGTCGCTTTTATATATAAAAATAGTGCTGGAAGTCCTAGCCAGAGCAATAAGGCAAGAGAAAGAAAGAAAAGGCACCCAAATAGGGAAGGAAAAAGTCAAACTGTCACTTTTTCAGACAATGTGCTTCTGTATATACAAAACCTTAAAGACGCCACCAAAAAAATATTAGAAAAAATAAACAAAAAGAAGTCAAGTTGCAGGATACAAAATTAAAGACGCCACCAAAAAAATATTAGAAAAAATAAACAAAAGAAGTCAAGTTGCAGGATACAAAATTAATGTGCAAAAATCCATTGCCTTCCTGTACACTAACAAAACTTCAGAAAAAGAAATGAAAAAAAAACCCAAACAATTCCTTTTGTAATTGCAACCAAACCCAGCTATAAAAAGACATGTATATGGGACAGATAATTTTTGACAAAAGAGCCATAGACACACATGGAATAAAGATAGTCTCTTCAATAAATGCTAGGAAAACTGGAAAGCCACATGTAAACGAATGAAACTGGATTACAGTTTGTCCCAATGTCCAAAAATTAATTCAAAATACTAGGATCAAAGACCTAGTATAAGACTTGAAACAATAGGTTACATAGAAGAAAATTATAAGGACCAAGTTTATGGACCTTGGTCACAGAGAACATTTTATGAACTTGATCCCAAAGACAAGGAAAATAAAGGCAAAAATAAATGAATGGAACTATATCAAACTAAAAAGCTTCTACACAGCAAAAGAAACTGACAATAAAGCAAAGAGGCAGCCAACCAGATGGAAGATGATATTTGCAAACAATAGCTCCAAAAAAGCTTTAATTTCCAAAATATATAAAGCAGACACTTATCCCAAGAAGACATACAAATGGCCAATAGATATATGAAAAGATGTTCAACCTCACTGGCAATTAGGGAAATGCAAACCAAAATTATAATGAGATACCACATACCACCTTACACCTGTTAGAGTGGCCATTATCAATAAGACAAGCAATAACAAATGTTGAGAGGTTATGGAAACAAGGAAACCTTATCCACTGCTGGTGGGAATGTAGACTGGTTCAACCACTATGGAAAGCAGTCTGGCAACTCCTCAGAAAATTAAGAATAGAGCTACCATACAACCTAGCAATCCCTCTCCTGGGTATATACCCCAAAAACTCAAAATCATGTATTCGCCAAGATATATGCACCCCTATGTTCATTGCAGCACTATTCATAGTGGCCAAGACATGGCAACAACCAAAGTGTCCCACTATAGAGGACTAGATAAAAAAGATGTGGTACATAGACAGACACAATGGAATACTACTCAGCCTTAAGAAAGGATGAAATAGCATCATTTGCAACAATATGGACAGACCTTGAGAACACTATGCTAAGTGAAATAAATCTGTCAGGAAAAGCTAAGAACTACATGATTTCACTTGTATGTGGGATATAAAACAGAAACTCCTGAACACAAAAAGCAGTGTGGTAACTGCCAGAGGGAAGGGGATAAGGGGAGAAGAGAGTCCTAGTATAAGGTAATAGGAGAACATTTGACTCTGGGTGGAGGGTATACAGATCTTTAACATAGAAAGCCACACCTAAAACCTATACGTTCATGTTAACCAATGTCACCCCAATCAATTTAATAAATATTTAAAAAACCAACATTTCATTACTGCAGGATCTTTAAATGGCTAAATTTATCCTTGCTATTAAATTTTGGAAAATTAAAGATTTTTACTGAAACCTACTATGGAAGTGGCAAAACCATACCACAAAGCACAAAGTAAGGATGATGGTTACCTCTGATGGAAAGGGAGAGAGACGCAATTAAGGAAGGACATAAAACAGGCTTGTAAGATTCTGATAAAGCTCTATTTCTTAGCCTGGTAGAGAGTTCAATGGTGGCTCACTTTATTTTATTTTTTTATTTTAAAAGCTACTCCAACTAAACGCTAAAGAACTATATACAACTTGGGCCATATACAAGAAAAGAGTCTCTTACTATTTTGGGGATTGACCTGCCGAACAGCAGGAGCCTGCATAACAGTTCCTCGCAGGGGAGCCTGAGCTGTTGGTGCAGGGAGAGTTGTATAAACCACTTGGTTTGCAGGAGCTCTTGGTACAGAAAGTCTCGTGGTCACCTGAGTTGCTGGACGATGTGTTACATTCACAGTGGTTGGAGCTAATAAACAGTAGAAAAATATAATAAGAATACAGTACAATCTATGTTAAATGAAGAGTATTAAATGTTAATTAACTCTGTACTAACTCTAATAATAGATATAGAGACAACAGTCTCCTTTTGCAATCATGATAAAGCCAACCAAAATTACTAATATTACTACAAACTTCAGAGAAAAAGAACATCTCAACCCTGTCCAATGCCCTTTCCACTGTTTTGTTTTTCCTCACCTGAGGATATTTTCTCCATTGATTTTTAGAAAGTGGAAGGGAGGGAGAGAGGGAAGGGGAAAAAGAGAGAGACATTAATGTAAGAGAGACACAATGATTGGCTGCCTCCTGCACATGCCCTGACTAGGGCCAATGACTGAACCTACAAACCAGGTATCAGCTTCTGACTGGGAATTGAACCTGAGACCCTTCAGTGTGCAGATGGACACTCTGAGCCACAATGGCCAGAGTGCCCTTTCCACTCTTTAGTTTGACTACATAATAAACATGAAAGAAAAGGTTTAGACTTGAAATTACTAACTTATAGGAGTGAGTTAAAAAGGCAGATTTTCCCTCCTCTATGTTAAAATGTTCTTAGCAGAGTGGAATTTTAGGCCCTCCAGACTATCTGCAAATGAGCATAAATCTAAGAGTAACTCTGTATTCCCACAGTTCAAGAAACTGGTTGGGTATTATAACTGACATTTTCTTCGGGTAAGCCAAACCATCTATTCAAAACAATAAAATATCCATTAAAAGACAGACTTCTTCCTTCTCTACTATGGCATTCTTCCTAACATATGGCATAAGAGCATTAATGCCTTGAATGACGTTAATATATATTTGTCAAAACTGAATCTTAAATGTTCACTCACAGCATGAACTACAATACTGATTTTGGGAGTTAGCTTCTTGTTAATAACTCTCTGAATTAGAATCACATTTTACAAATAACCATATATTAACTTTATAATAAAAAACAATTAACAAATCTTTCATATGGAAAAAATGGGTTCTATAAATACATTTGGAGGTAAATGCTGGGTACAACAAAGATAAAAAGGTGTCTTTACTGAAGACTCCTTAGTCTTTACATAGCCTCATTTTTTGAGTTAGAAAATGAAAGTCTTTAGTCCCCATTTTTGTTACCTATACTGCACTTGGGTTTACATGATGATATTTCTTTCTAAATTAGGTGAGTGTCATTTTAATCTCACTGGAAACAATTCCATGTGAATTCAATGTTTTCCTTAATGAAAATTGTGTTTATGTAAATATTTTGCAGATAAATCTATAAGCAATGGTTTATTGTATGAAGAAAAACTGTCTTGATTGGCTTCCAAACAGTTTAGGAGATACAGGCTATACCTTGAAAATGTCTGATTTACAGCTTCTTGAAGGTGCAAATAAAATATTAGTGTTATATCTCCTGTTGATAGTGTTAGGCCACTTAAAACTAGTTCAAGTTAAGAATTATTTTTAAATTCTTATTTAATTAGTCAATTATACCTTCTTGGTTATAACCAGAATGAATTATTACACCCATCCTTCCTAAGAAAGGATATTCATTTCTGCTGTTTTCAGTAGCAAATGACAAAGGCATATAGTTTAAGCCTTCTATATAACCATTCTATATAAGTGCCACTACTTAATGACAGGAAAACTCAGTTATACAGCGTTCAAAAGGCACGTTATCTTCATAATAACAATAAGAATTTTTTGTCTAATCTTTCCACTTGATTCCATAGTCCTATTTCACTGTAGACAAAACTAAAGCTTTGTTTTAATGATTCAGCAAGTTTACCTGTAGGTAGTAAGTGTATTGTTGTCTGAGATGGTCCACTTGTTGGCACCCCAGATGGTTGAAGAGGTGGTGCTGGCTGGATAGGTTGCAACGGCCGAGACACAGACTGAGAAGAACTCATGGCTGACACTGGAGTGTGAGTTGGCTTTTTAGTGTCTGTTAATTAAAAGTGAGACATTATGATTATTGATAGAAAAAAATTAGAAATATAGGATTTCCTTTATGGGTAAAATTTACTTTTGCATGCCACCAAGTCACATTTACCGCTAACAAAACAATTTCTTTCTATTTAACTACCAGAGGCCCGGTGCACGAAATTCGTGCATTGGTTGGGGGTCCCCTCAGCCCAGCCTGCACCCTCTAACAATATGGGACCCCTCAGGGGATGTCCCGCTTGCAATCTGGGACTGCTGGCTCCTAACGGCTGGCCGGCCTACCTCATTGCCCCTAACCACTCTGCCTGCCTGCCTCATTGCCCCTAACCACTCACCTACCTGCCTGATCATCCCAACCACTCTGCCTGCCTGCCTGATTGCCTCTAACCGCTCGCCTGCCTGCTTGATCGCCCCTAACTGCCTCTGCCTCGGCCCCCGCGACAGCGGCTTTGTCCAGAAGGACATCCAGAATGATGTCCAGAAGGTCGTTCGGCTGTCTGGTCTAATTAGCATATTACGCTTTTATTATTGTAGATGTGTATTTGCCAATCTGAAAACCAAGTCAGGACCTTAAATAACTCACTGTTAGTTCTCTCACAGATCCTAATTAAAATGTACAAAAAGGTAGTTTTATGTTTTGACTTTTTTTTATGAGTCAATCCTTTTTCTGAACTCAATACAATATCATGTCAATTAGAATAATTTCATTTCCTACATTAATATATATTTGTAATATATATATATAGGTATATCAAGGACATTCCCCTAGACCAGTGTTCGGCAAATTGTGGCTCGCAAGCCACATGCAGCTCTTGGCCCCTTGAGTGTGGCTCTTCCACAAAATACCACGTGCGGGCACGCACGTACAGTGCAACTGAAACTTCGTGGCCCATGAGCAGTAGTCGGTATTTATTTTATGGAAGAGCCACACTCAAGGGGCCAAAGAGCCGTGTGTGGCTCGCGAGCCACAGTTTGCCGACCACTGCCCTAGACAAACACCTATAAACTGCTGAGTTTTTCACCAAAGATCTTGAATTCCAATTACTCTACTGTTGTTGATTCTCTTGCTTAACACAGATGGCTATTTATACTATCCAGTCTTTAAAATATAATACACAGAGTGTATATCTCAAAAAAAGTCTACAATAGCCTATGAAATTAATGTTTGCATCTCAGAAAAAGCCCTTGAAAATAGGTAACCACTATATGGTGTATTATAAAGAGGGTAAGCCAAAAGCTCTGCTATCCAAAATAATTCCCACTGATTTCTGTCCTATATAATTCTAAAATGTAAATAAATTTCTATGTAAATAAAATTATAAATTGTAAATAAAATTTAAGGCTTTAGCAAGTAAAATTTTAATTGGGTGCTGATGGAAAATAATGCACCTCAGAATAAGAGAATTTAAAGTACATTCAAAGGTGAAGCAATGGAAAGAGAGCCCATTAGGCAGGGATGCTAGAAAGAGAAACTGCAAGAGCACTGATAATAAACGTTTATTTTTAATTCAGAATAACCCTACTTGTGTCCTCTCAAAAATAACCTATATTTATTTCTGTCCTCTAGGAATTCATTACACTTAACTTGTCTATGAAATAATAGTGAAAAGATTACAGGTAACCTGAAACTTTTTAAGAATAACGATACCGGTATGAATTCAACCATGACAAATGATGGCATAAATCTTCCAAAATTACAGCAGTTTTACACCAAAAAAAAATAACTGACTTTCCTGTCTCATAATCAATTGTAAAGCCACTTAATTTTGTTTTCTTAAAACCAAATTAAATATCTTACCCCCTAAAATGCAATTTTTTTAAATGTTTAGGTTTTTTAAATTTAACGTCTTTAAGGCCCTAACCTCATGATACAAGATTTTCCACATGCATTATATAATTATCACCAGAGGTTTATAGATACGTCCATGAACAAAGTTATTTTATACAGTCAAATATGTTTGAAAATTACTTTATATTTTGAATCACTGAGAATTACATTATAAATCAGCGATGGGTTAGAGAAGTCTGTATTAAGAAAAAACATTAGGGGGGGCAAAGGTGGGGTAGAGGGAGTCAATAGGGGAAAAGGGAGACATACCTGTAATACTTTCAACAATAAAAATAAATTAATAAAAAGAAAAAAACATAATTTTGTTTACTAAGCATTTACTAAGCATATTTAACCATGAAACTTTTTACTCATTGAATGTCTATTAAAATGCAGATGAATATTTTGGGATATTGGGTAATATCTACCTAATACTATTTCTAAATATTATAACAGAGCAATATTGGGGTGTGCATGCTTTTTAATATTACTTTCATTTTCTTTTAAATAACACTAAAGGAAATTAATTCAAATAACCAAATTAAGTGTATATACACTTAAAAATACCTAGATTAAAACACACACACACACACACCATTTAGAGTCAGAAGTCCTGGGTTGAATTTCCACTTCCCTTACTGATTCATACTCTATCAATCTATCCTCAACTCTCAAGTGGGCATTACATGGCTATTACAAGGATCATGTGAAATAACAGATATAAAAAGAGAGATGTTCCATAAGTTAAATATTCTCCTAATTGCTCCATTTTCCACTATGCCTTTTCATATTCTTTCAAGATTTTATTTCTATTTTTTAATTCTAACCTAAAAAAACCCTCATTCTGGAGAGGATACAAATACACCAAGAATAAACTATCTTCACTGAGTATTAAATTGGATTAAGAGAAAAAAATGGCACCAAAGCATCACTTAGTATGATTACTTATATTTAAATACCTTGTGAAGTTCCACTCTCTTCATCATCCATTGTAAGATCAATGACACCACCTGAATCACTGGCTGTGGCTTTTCCACTCTGAAAAACAACACACCTTCATTTTGCAAAAGAAACGTTGGCAGACATAAAGGAAAAATGAAATAATACTGAGGAGAAAGGAGGATAATGAATAACCTGGTTCAATGATTGCATGACTTTCTCTTGTGTACAGTAACACGCTGTACAGGCATGCAGCTGAGGGGCCACAGGCTATGCCATGTAGCCTAGGTGTGTAGTAAGCTATACCATCCAGGCTCGTGTAAGTATTCTCTGTGATCCCCTAATGACGCATTTCCCAGAAGGTATCTCAGTTAAGCGGCGCATGACTGCAAATGCTAATCATAATTCCTTTATGATAGATTACACCGCAGATTAACTAAAATCAATTTTTCATCTGCAAATCTCAAGTTCTGTTAAGTTAAAGAAAACTAATTCTTCAGGGTACAAAATTCAGGCCCAATCCCAAGACAATGATATAAATTCTAAATCCTACAATTATAAACCTTTCTATGACAATGATTTCATAGAAAATGACTTGTTAACAAACACAAATCTGTAAAACTCATATTAAAAGTACTTAACAAAGCCTCAAAGAATGTAACAGAACCTAGTCACCACAACATACCTCTAAGGTTCACATTTCAAAATTTACTAAATTTTACATTTATCAAAAATTGCCCCACTGTGAGCCAGGGGCCAGCCCCACCCATCTACTTCCTTCCCTGGACGCCCTACCGCAGCCTCTCTAGACCCGCAGAAGCAGCTCTTGCTGCGGTTGAAGGCGGTGGCCCGAGGCCCCCACCGCCCTGGCCTGGGTCCGAGAGCCTGGCCCTCATCCCTGAGCCTCCACGCTTCCACCCCGGCAAGCCCAAGATGGCTGCCCCCACCCCCTCCCACCCCGCCCG